AAGTAGTGGGAAGGATCAGAGCCCTCCCTATGTCTCCTTTTGCTTTGCTTACCCCTCCACTTAGATACAGTGCTGCTCTGGATACCGGTTTGAAAATGTACAAACTGTTAATTTCAGAAAATCTCATATGTTTAATTCCTGTTTTTCTTTTAAGGTGCCTGCAGAGGCCACAGGAGTCAGATCCCACTGAAGCTGGCGTTTACAGGCAGTTGTGAGCCACGAGCTCTGGGTGCTGGAAATTGAATGAGCTTGGATCCTCTGGAAGAACGTGCTCCCAGATTTCACATTTATGCAAAGTTGTTCCATGTTGTAGGGTCCATTATTAACTGTTTCAGTGTCCTGTGTAAAATAGAACTCTTGTCCCACACAGGATCCACTGCAGCCCCCTCAGTTACATCCATTTAGTCTCCTCTGGAGCGATACAGCAGCTTTTCTCTTTTCTAGCTTAACATTTTAAGCTAGACAGGATCTCTCTGTATTGTCCACGCTGGCCTCAAAATCCTGCGCTCACCCCCTCAGTGGTGGGGCTACAGACGTGCACCACTGCATCGACTTTTGAGAGTGTTAAAGTCACTCGTGATGGGAAATGTTCTTGGGATTTGATTTGCTGGGGTTTCGGTGATTGATTTGGAGTCATTAGCGGTGAGGTTGAGGAGAGGGCAGTGTTTGCTCATGTAGTTATTGAGTGACCCATGGGAAATGTGGAGCTTGCACAGGTGTCTCCTGTTCCCCAGCATATTTTTAATAGGCGTTTGTGTGTTTATCGATTATGAACACTTGACCAAACTCCTGAAGTTCAGCTGCAGGTGAGACTCTGGAGGTGGTTTGGAGGCTGCCAGTGGAAGACAGCATTGAGAAAGAAACATTGATTTTTTTTTTTTTTTTTTAATCAAAGAGGCTTTATTCCATTTGGGACACAAATGTCCTTCCAAGGTTTAAAGTCAGAAAAAGCCAAACTCATGTGTTCATTTGTGCAGTAATTATTATTGAGTGCTTACTGCTTGCAAGGGGCTAGGAATAAATGGTAAAAATAAATAAGCCAAATCTCTTTTTGGACTCATGGAGCGGTAGACAGGAAAACTGCGCGATAAGTCAGGGGAGAATAGACAAAGGAGGGTCCTGGAACCTGACCCCGCTGCCAACCTGACCTGAACCCCAAGGGAGGCCAGGAAGCTTCGGGGATCCTCTGCTGGGAGGATCTGTCTGGCACTGGAAGTTGCTACACCACACCTAGAGAGAGGTACTTGTCAGTGCAGTGTTAGGTGACTTCCGCAGAGGCAGCAGGAAAGAGGGTGAATGAAGTAACCGGGCCTTAGCCTGACAGTAGCAGCAGGGCTCCGAGAGTGCTACCTGTGGGGTTCTAGCAGCTTCTGGGGAAGAATGGCCGATGCCTCTGGAGTTTCTCAGTGCTGAGGTGGGTGGAAGGCAGGTGAGGGCTGGCTTGGTAAGATTCCTGTCTCCCAGCACCCTGGGTGGCTGGGCTGGATTCTTGACAAGCCTGGGCAGACCAGGGCTCCCTCTCGGGAACATCCAGGAGCCCCAGGCTATGTGCCCAGGGCTATGTGTCCCCTGCCAACAGTGTCAGGCTGTTTTCCAGTGTCAACCCTCACCTTTGTTCCAGGATCGCTTCCCAACTTTCAGAGAATTCTCATGCCAAGGGCACATCTCTCTCCTGTTCAGGCCATTGATAGCCCAGCAGAAGCATGGGTAGGCAGACACTGTTGTCAGTCTAGTGCTTCGGTGTGTAAGTTCCTAAATGTCTTCTCCCCACTCACCTCTGTAGTTCTCTTACTAACACTCCCAGGATGTGCTGCTGCTGCTGCTGTTGCCTCCAGGTTATATAGGCGAGGGTTGAAGCAACAGAGAGGGTTGGCCTCTTGCCCTTGGTCACACAGCTAGGGAATGCAGACTCAGGGTTTACACCTGACTGCTTGGCCTCAAGCCTCTATTTTCATTCTCTGCCTTGCACTATAGATGCTGTGGTATTTTTTTCCTCGAGGCCCCTGCGGGTTCCAGGGTGGTGCTCTTCAGTCTGTTTCAGACAGTCTCTTGCCTCTTGACGTTTATGTGCTTGGTGTCTAACCATAGGTTACTAGGGAGTTATGAAGAGTGAAAAGCAAGAGTCCTTTTTTTTTTTTCAAGAGGTTGTGAGGATTTTGTGCCTTCTTTTCAGGGTCAGGCCCAGAGAATTGGGCTAATGTCTCTGGTGATCCAGATGACATGCTTTCCTTAATGCTAACAACAGCTGGGGGGCAACTTTTGTGGTCACGCTTTATGAGCATATGAGCTATATGCCCAGGATCACCCAGCAGAAAAAGTGAACCGTTTGGCTGCTATGGTACCCAAGCTTGGGTCCCCCTACTTTGCCCCAGAGTGATGGATAACGATGCTTGGTGCATGAACTGGAAGTCATGTGCTTGGTGTGTAACCTGCGTATATCGACTGACGTGGCTTAGAAGAATTGGGCCACCGTCTTGAAGGAACACTCAGTTTTACGCTAAGATGGTGTCTTAGTAGTTAGGGTTTCTATTCCTGTGAAGAGGTACCATGACCATGGCAGTTCTTTTAAAAGAAGACATTTAATTGGAGTGGCTCGCGTACAGTTCAGAGGTTCAGTCCATTATCATCATGGCAGGGAACCTGGTAATGCACAGATGAAGTAGCTGAAAGTCCTACATCTTAAAGGCAACAGAGAGTTGTCTGAGAGTCACACTGAGGGAAGCTTGAGCAAAAGAGACCTCAAAGCCCACCCCCACATGACACACTTCATTCAACAAGGCCACACCTCCTAATAGTGCCACTCCTTATGAGCTTTGGGGCGGGGGGGCGGTTACGTTCAAGCCACCACATGCAGCCTTTGTTCCAGTCTTGCTTCTGCTGTCTCCAGCATCACACTGGATGAGAGCTGAGGTCCTGCAACTCCCCTGTCTTATTCACAAAAGTGCAGCAGAACCACCTGCATCCTCAGACCCAGTCTGAAAGTGCGGGCTGCTGGTTCTTAGCTGGGTGTTGATGTATAGAGTCAATGTATTCCAGCAAAGATATTCCCTGGAAGAACACATCTGAATCCCACATGAGGGGGGCATATAGGTCTCTTCGGAAACATCCAACTGATTTCGCAACACCCAGGTCACCATCCTTCCCTCCCCTGGCACGCTTTGTTGAAGCACCAGCTGTGACAGATTTTATTGACAGTAGTGGGAAGGATTTAACCGTAGGCAGCTGGTGCTAGACCAAGGCATTCAAATACAATCTACTAAGGAAAATCACAGGATTTCTTTGGGTTTTGGTTTTTCAAGATGAAGTTTCTCTATGTTAAGAGCTGGAACTCAATATGTAGACCAGACTACGTAGAATTCTGCCTCACAGAGATCTTCCAGTCTCTGCCTCCAGAGTGCAGGGATTAAAGGCTTGTGCCCTCACATCCGGCTCAGGATTTCTTGCTGGTTAAAACTTAGAACAGAGGCAGGATCTCCACATGTTCGACTCCAGCCTGATCTAGTTACAAAGTGTATCAATTAAACAGACGCAAATAGACAAACACTGTGTCCTGGTTAGGGTTGTTGTTGCTGTGGTGAAACACCATGACCAAAAGCAAGTTAGGGAGGAAAGGGTTCATTTGGCTTATACTCTCTCTCACATCACTGTTCATCAGCAAAAGAAGTCAGGACAGGAACCTGGAGGCAGGAGCTGATGCAGAAGCCATGGAGGGGTGCTGCTTACTGGTTTGTTCCCCATGGCTTGGTCAACCTGCTTTCTTACAGAACCCAGGGCCACCAGCTCAGAGATAACCCCACCTGGGCCCTTCCCATCAATCACTAATTAAGAAAATGCCCTACAGCCGGATCTTATGGGAGCATTTTTTTAAAACTGACGTTCCCTTCTTTTAGGTAACTCTAGCTTGTGTCAGGTTGACAGACCTTCCAGCACAGCTGATGCCGTGTCCGCTTGACACGCACGTCACTGTTAAGCTGTAACCATTCCTTCCGTACTCATCTCCAAACCACACATTAGTAAAACCTCAGTATAAAACAGTTTACACGCTTAAAAATTCCCACACTCTTTACAGTTCGAAACACTTTAAAATTAAATCTCTTTTAAAATCCAAAGTCTCTTTGAAAACCTAAAATCTCTTGAAAAATTCCAAAGGACGTTTTGGAAATGTCTGGAGACGTTTGGCTGTTACAGAGGAAGGAGACCTCCTTGCTGAGGCTGGGCTGCTTCTGCAGTAGACAGACATGTCGCAGTACCTTGCACCATAGAGCCATTCAAGCCAAAGTATTGATGGTGCCACCTGCGAAACCTGCACTGAACGTCCAGTGCTTTATATTTATTTACTTGTTTGTGTGTGTGTGTGTGTGTGTGGTGAGTCCACAGTATATGTGTAGAAGTCAGAAACCAACTTGTAAGAGTTGGTTTTCTCTCTGCCATGTGGATCCCAGGTTTTAAACCCATCAAGCTTAGCTTAGCACCATGTGCCTTTTCCTCCTGAGCTGTCCCACAAGCACCCCATCCAACATGTATGAAGAATTCTAGCAGCAGACATTGTTCTAAGTGCTCCTGGGGTCATTAACTCAGTTCTTCTTCCAGTGTTGTGACATAAGAACTGTTGCTATCTTCATTTGGTGTACAGGGCAGTCAGGGCGTACAAATTCCCAGTTTAGGGCCACAATCCCACTCCGAGTGAGTGAGGAACAGGCAGAGGCAGAGTCTACACTCTGGAGTCTACACTGAGCCTCTGAGCTGTGCTGTGCTACCCCTCCTTAAGAAAACCAGTGGGCTTCAAGCCACACTTGCAGCTTTGCATCCAGAAAGCCACATTCTTAGACATTTGCGTGTAAGAAGTGAGAAACAATGCCTGGCACATGGAGGTGGGGGTGAATATAGTTTTCATGAGGGGCCAGTGAGCCATCAGCAAAAGCCTTGTCCTGTAAGGAATGTGGCTCAGCTCATGATCTGATGGTCATCCTTTCTAATTAGACTGTGTTCTGTCACTGTAGATATAAAGACTACTGTGGTGTACCCTGCCACAGAGAAACACCTGCAGAAGTACATGCGTCAGGACCTCCGCCTGATCCGAGAGACTGGAGATGACTACAGGAACATCACTTTACCCCACCTGGAGTCCCAGAGCCTCAGCATCCAGGTGACTAGCTTCCAGGACTCATAAACTGTTGATCCTGTAGCTGGTTTCTCTTGCAAGCACTTGTTGGGGTCATCCCAGAGACGACCTAGGGCCTGCCCAGTATGTGTGCCTGTGAGACCGCAAAGAGGAGCATGGACTGAATCTGTGGAGTAGAGCCTCCTGGCGTGGGCTGCTTGCTGTTTTATCCAGGACAGTCACGGCGGGCTTTGTGATCTTGGGCCTTTATGAGGTACTAGGCACGCCACTGACCTTCTCAGAGAATCCATCCTGCTGTTGAAATTTTATCTGCTCTGCAGTAGTCCTGTATAGTCTGAATTTGTCCTCACTAAAGACCTGTGGGTGGGTAAAAAAAGCCTTCTGTTGGGTTAGGTGACCTTGATCCAGCCTCTTATCCCTAGTCTTTCCTGCAGGAGACAAGTCTCAGAGCAAACACTTCCCTGTCCCTCCCTCTCCTTGCATTCATTCCACAGCAGACTGCTCTGTTGTCCCCAGTGTGTGTTTGGTGTAGACCTGTGTATACAGGATGACAGAGTGCTCTGGCTGAGCCAGATACAGGATGCTTAGCTCAGAGATCCTGGCAGGTCTTCGGTTTAGGCCAAGTGCCAACCAGAGCCTCTGCCTGGAATTGGCCCCATGTGGATACTCACAGTTAAATATGATGGATGCATATTGATGAGTCACTTCCTTGCCCACTCACTGGCATTCACCGGTTCCTTCTCATTATCTTCACTCAGGTTCTCTTTGGGACTTTTTTTTTTTTTACTACCGTTCCCATACGGTACATGGGAGAGAGTATTCTTAGATGGGAAGCTCATAGCCACTCCTCTAGAGTTCAGAAGGGTGGCCCCCAGGCTTGAGGGTGCTGTTCTGTCAGCTGTAACAGAGAGAATAAGGAAGGGGAGACTGTCCGTGGCCGAGGAAAGCAGTTCCCCTGGGAGACTAGGTACTGACAGCCTTCTTGCCAGTGTATAAGACTGGAAAGTCCAGTCATGACCACCCCCCAGCAGCATTTGCTCACCGTTCCTTTGGCTCAAGATCTTTCATTCTTTTCTCTTTTTTAAAAATTTGAAACAAGGTGTCCTAGTTCCATTTCAGTTGCTGCGACTAAAATATCTTGATAAAAAGCTACCTGGGGTGGGGTTATTTTAGCTTACAATTCTAGATTATAGTTCACCACTGTGGGGAAGTCAGTGTCAGGAGCCAAGACAACTGATTATATCACATTCATAGTTAAGAGCAGAGACAATGAATACATGCGTACTTAGTGCCCACCTAGCCTTCTCTGCTTTTATACATTCCAGGACTCCCAACCAGGGAATGTTGCTGCCCACATTCAAACTAAATTTTTCCACATCAGTTAAGTCAATCAGGATGATTCCCTGTATCAGTGGTCCTCAACCTTCCTAACTCTGCGACCCTTTAACACGGTTCCTCATGTTGTGCTGACCCCAACCATAAAAATATTTCGTTGCTACTTCATACTGTAATTTTGCTACTATGATGAATCATAATGTAAATATCTGGTATGCAGGATATCTGATGTGTGACCCCTGTGAAAGGGTCATCAGACACCTTAGGAGTCTCAACCCACAGGTTCAGAACCACTACCCTGCAGGCATGCCCATAACCTGGTCTAGTCAAGCCCTCATTGAGACTTTATCTTTCCGGGTGATGTTTGGTTGTGTCAGGTTGACAATTAAAACTAACAATCATGCAGTGGTGGCACACGGCTTTAATCCCAGCATTTAGGTGGCAGAGCCAGGCTCTCTGAGTTTGAGGCCAGCCTGGTCTATACGTCGAGTTCCAGGACAGCTGGGACTACACAGAGAAATCCTGTTTCGGAAAAACAAAAACAAACAACAAAAAAACCTAACCATCACAAGATGTCAGGTAGTCCAGGTTGGCCTCAAGCTCAGTATGTAGCAGAAGATGTCCTTGAGCTTCAGATCTTCCTGCCTCTGCTGCCCCACTCCCCAGAATGCTAGGGCCACAGATGCATATGACCACACTCAATTTACGTGGTACTGGGGACTGCTAGGCAATCACTCTACCATCTGAGCTACATCCCCAGCCCCTTTCTTTTTAAAAACATCCTGGCATTTGTTCTGTCTTCTGGGTGGAAAGGAGGTGTCTCTCTACCTTCCAGATAACTTCTGTGTAGTGTCCTAGAGGGACCTTCCAGAACATCTGTCCTGTGGGGCTGTTTGTATATATGTGAGATTCAAGAGAAGAGACCCTTGTCTGACTGATGTGAGTCTTGTGCACCACGACCAAGTTCCACTTGCAAACAAAAGTAATTCAGCAGAACTCCTTTCTTCCAAATCTTGATTGGCATAAGCTTCTAGCGTCACTGGCAGGAGTCTTTGTATTATTGAGTATCTGCTGTGCTCTAGGCCCTGTGCGGGGCTTTAAGGAGGCTCCCAACTGACAAGCCCTAGCCAGTGTCCAGAGTCTGTCGGGGAAGATGGACATGCAGATAGACAGCGGTGATAATGACACAGGCCCACTGGTGGGCTGTGTGAGCACAGTGGTGATGCTGTGAGAGGAACCACTGGAGACATGGGGTCGCACACAGGGAACCCTCCCCTGAGTTTTAAGAGAAATGTGAACGGTAACAAGGTGGACAAGGCAGAGGGAGGATAGGTCCAGAGGCTTGGTGTTGGTGTGACTAGGCACAGGTTCCGTGGGGCACAGTGAGGATGGCCCTGAGTGGCCTGGAACAGGTCTGCGGACTGTGTTCAGGAGATCAGACGTGCACAGGCACTCGAGGACATTTTTAAAAATAACAGCAGGAGAGTCTGTTTTTTATCTACTGTCTGGCCCTTCAAGGACTAAACCTGGGCATATACATATTATTTTCTTAATCAATTTTTTTGCATTTAATTTATTTTTTATTTTATTATGTATGTGCGTGCACATATGTACTGTAGTGTACAGGTGGAAGTCAGAGGACACTTGGGAATTCTAGGGGTCAGACTCAGGTCATCCAGGTTGGCAATAAGTGCCTTTATCTATAAGCCATTTTGACAGCCCCAAGTATACATTTTAAAACTCCATGTTCTTGGGGACTGGAGAGATGGCTCAGAGGTTAAGAGCACTGTCTACTCTTCCAGAGGTCCTGAATTCAATTCCCAGCAACCACACAGTAGCTCACAACCATCTATAATAAGATCTGGTACCCTCTTCTGGTGTGCAGAAATACATGCAGTCAGAACACTATATATGTAATAAATCTTTTAAAAAATCTATGCTCTTTTTTTGGCATGTGTACAGGTGTCTGGTGTATGTACATGTATGTATATAGATACATCTGTGCGGGTGCACATGTGCTAGATGCAGGTGCACATGTCTGCTGCTTGTGGAGGTCAGAGGTGGATATTGGATGTCTGTCTCCATCATTCTTCACTTTATTTACTGAACTGAGAGAGTGTAGACTCAGCTAACTTGGCTAGCCATTGCCCTTGGGATTCCCTATCTCTGCCTCCTGAGCACTGAGGTAGATTACTACCAGCGACTTTTTTTTTTTTTTTTTCTGTGAATGCTGGGAATCTGAACTCTGGTTGGCCTTTTTGCTTATGTGATAGGTGCTTTATCTCCTGAGATGTTTTTCCAGCCCTAAATATCTGTGATGTTTCTAAAAATGTAGATGGTGTGATCAAATTTAACAAGTGCAAATGGAGCAAGACTAGAAACCAGCCTAGATCCAAAGCAGAGAAAGACAAGCCACTCAGGGGGAAGCCCCAGCTGGGTTACAAGGCTCAGACTGGTGATACAGAGACGAATGACTGTGGAGCGATCCTCGGTCCTACTAGAGTGAAGAGTGGACAGGGGAGCCTCCATTAACAAGGGCAGGATGTTGACTGTTTCGGTGGGGGATGCTTATGTGGAAGACATCATGTTCAATTTAGGATTTACTGAGCACATGCTGGGTGCCAAGAACTGCGGTAGGCATTTTGCATGCATTACCTCAGTCTTCTCACAGGTCTTTTGGAGACAACACAGAAAACCAGGCTGTCTGGTTCCAGTGTCTGGGTCCTCAGCAAGTTACTCTGTCTGGTTCCTTAAATTTGAAATACTTATAACTGCCTAATAGAAGTTTAATAAAAGACACAAAATGGCAGTGGTGTGCCTTGACCTGAAGCCTTCAAGATCTCCTGACTAAAAGTCCGTTTGCAAACCTTTGCATTCAGCTTCTGCATCCGCTGGTGTTTGGTTTCTCACCTTCTGGGGTCTGGAAGTTGTGACTCACAGCTCTTCTCAGTTAGGTTTGTGGGAACTAAGAAGCATCCCATTTATCATGTGCCCACTGCTGTTGCCCATGCAGAAAAGGGTTCTGTGTGGAGCTGCCATTACCACACAGAGATAGTACAGAGAAATGGGCAAGCATGGCCAGAGGAGAGCCGCAGGGTGTGTGAGTGGGGTGAAGACCGAGGGAGAATGGAAAGGGACCAGATGTCCCTTGGGAGGTCCAGGGAGGAAAGAGGACTTAGAAGCTATTGTCAGTGTCACGCTGTAGCTCCATGGACTATCCACCAGGATTACACTGTCCACCAGGACTGGCTTTCAGGGGCAGCCTCCCATCCCCTGACTCTGTCATTTGTGAGAGTTTTGTGTGAATTTCGTTCCCTTTCCCTGCCTTTCTTCTCTGGGCTGCTGGCCATGGGACTTCCTGTGGATGCAGGTTCCTGCCCTTGGCCTGACCTTTCCCAGGAGGCAGGATATGCTGTGCCCAGGTTCCCAGGCTTGGAATTTCATGGACTTGCCTGAACTTCCTTGCTCCTGCTTCTTCCTCACCTGCAGGCCGGGGATGATGACAGCGGGTTGCTGTGGCCTCTCAGCCTCCAACCACTGCCTTTCTCGTTTTGCCTCCTCCATTAAACTGCCCCATTGTCATTTCTGCACTGTTGCTATTCCTTGGGCACCTTTTTCATGCAGGCTCTGGGTGAGTGCTTTTATGTGCGTGTCCTGGTTAAAATCTTCCCCACAAGCCTCATGCACAGATCCTAGGAGGCTGTTGTGGGTAAGAGGATTCAGTTGCTTGCCCATGGAAGCAAGTCAGAGCGGAGCTGAGAAGATGCTGTCATGCTCCAAGCTCATTCGTGCTTTGCGACAGTGTGTGCTGCTCTCCGGTGGGGGAGGGGGTGTGCCTCTGGGCAGGGATAGTCCTAGGGGCCAGCTGTGAGGTGCACCAGGACTTTCTGTGGTAGAAGTCATCAGGGTCTCCCTCTTTCCCAATTCTGGGAGGCTTCAGTCAGTGGCCGAGGAAATGCTTCTGGAAGAATCTTGGCCCTAGCTTGTGTGTGGCTAAGCCGCAGGTACTTTGTGGAGAAGCCATCTCCAAGTTGAAGGGCTCTAGCAGGCCTGGGCATGGCGAATGAAGCGCTAGCAGGCCTTGCCCTTCCTCCTTCCCTCTCCCTTGTAAACCGTAGGTTACATCCTTAAAGCTAGCCACCAAGGTCTATTTGGATACGTTCTCTTGCCGGACTCATTCCTAAAGCTGATCACCAAGGTCCAGCTGTCAAAGTATTGAAACCCAGCAATCAAAAGCTCCCCTTTTGGCTACCCTAATTAACATCCAATCAAAACGTACTACTGCATCCTGACCCATTCTAACACAGATCTCCCCCTTAAAAAATCACACACACACACACACACACACACACACACACACACACACACACACGGTCGTTTGCTGCTATTTTCTGCCTGAGTCAGAAATCAGCCACTTCCCCACTTGATGAAGAATCTACCTGTGAGAATAGATGTTTGGGTATGGTTTGTGCCTAATCGATGTCTGGTAGGGAACATCCTGCTGTGTGCAAGCTGGTTCCTTCACAAGTGGTCTCCAGACGACTTCTAAGAAGTGACTCATCTTAGCTTGTTCTAGGGACGCCATGTGACTCATTAGTCTGTCCTCCAAATCTAGTTGTGGGGTCTACAAGCCCTCTGAACTGAAGTGTCACCTTGAATAATTGTTGGGATCCCAGAAGCCAAGGTATCTCCAGCAGATTTCTCTACTCCCTGCACCCATTCCAGTTGGGTACTGAATATATGGGTACAGACCCCAGGCCAGCCCCCTGCGTTTGGTCTTTGGGGACACTGCCTACGCCAGCACTTCTTAGAGTGGGAAGAAGGTTTTCAGGGCCTTGCCTCCTCTCTTTGTGAACCTGGAAGTCCTAACTTGGAGGAAGAAGGGGTAGAGGTGTGACCCCAGCTACTCACTTCACCCCGTTTGCTAACAGCTATGCCTTTTGGATGTGGGACACTCCTGAGTGCAAGGGACTCTCACAGTTGGGAAAACAGAAGAATCAGAGACTCCTGGGTTCTTGAGTGCAGAGAGCTTGGGAGCCCCTCAGCCTAACCCCCTTTCAGTCTGCTTGCCTCCCCTTCCCACATGTACAGCCATGTCCTTGGAGTCTATTCAGGACTAGGGAAGGGGCCTCCAAAGACTGCCAGCTGCTACTCAGAAGGTGGTAAGGGAGCTGGAAACCCTGTGAGAGTAGTATTGAAACCTGCTGTGTCTGTGTGTCTTTCTGTTTTGCTTTGCCTTGCGGGGCCTACCTGATACAAAGCATTTCCAGCATCTCCAGGTGACACTTCTCACTCACTCATTGGCCCGTAGAACCAAAGGCTTTACTGCACTGTGGCTGACTGCCATTACAGAAAGAAATTTCTGTGCTCTTGGCTTCTTTGAATGGTCCACGGAGATAGTGTCTCCCCTGCCTTGGTAGCCACTGGACAGGTTAGCACAGGAGCAGGGATGGAGTGTGGATGTCTATGCTGACCAGGAGAAACCTAAAGGGCCCATCCCTGTCTGAGCCTGCAGAGACCTGAATGATGACAGTGAGAGCCAGGATTCAGCTGTGGTAGAAGTGGAGAATCTTCCAGAGCCAGTGATTGTCCACCCCGAGTTTGTAGCCTTTTATAGTAGGAGCATTGTTCTCGGAAGGCCCCTGTCAGCTAGAGTGAGTTTGTAAACCCTTTCTTCTCTCCTTCCAGTGGGTGTACAATATTCTCGACAAGAAGGCTGAAGCTGACCGGATTGTTTTTGAGAACCCGGACCCTGCTGATGGCTTTGTCCTCATCCCAGACCTCAAGTGGAACCAGCAGCAGGTAAAGACTAGGTGCTGGAGGAGTCCAGCCTCTAAACTCCGGCCTCCTTGCTGCCGGGCTACCTCTGGGGATCCTGCCCCCTTACGGTGCTGATTACTGTTATCCAGTAAGAAATGGCCTTCGCTCCTCCAACTGACAGTGTGTAGCTGTTATAGACAACTCCTTTTGCTTCCATGGATCAGCTAAAAGCCTTTTCTGACTCCACTCTTAGGCAAAAGGTAGCATGGAGGGATGTTTGCCTCCATGGCTGTAGGCTGTGTGTCTCCTCCGGCAGCCTTGCACCTGGAAATTCTGGGTTAAAGCCTAGTTAGTCATGGGAAGTAGGTGTGGACAGGAAGAACTGCCTCATGAGATTCTTGAAGATTGAAGTGCTTGTGACTTCAGGCCGATTACAGCCTAGGGATCACAGAGAGACGTCAAAGCAGACTTGTCCACGTCATTACAGAAGCCCATGGCGCAGAGAGCAGAAATCATCAGGCATCTGGCCCAGGGTTGTCAGGAGTCTTTCTGCAGAGCAGCCATTTCCTATCCTCTTTAAGCTAGGAAAGGCTTTGGCCACGGCGCTGAGGCTAGCTGCGTGACTGGAACTCCTCGCTGCAGCAGTAGTGAAGGGGCCAACGTAAGTGTTCCACCTTGCTTGATAGTGAAAGTTGGCCCTTCCTGACCTTCCTAAGTTGCATGTTAATGGTGCCGCATTTTATTCAGTGCCTCAGCTCCTTGACTTGTGACAGCAGGGAACGTCAGTGCTCCTTTAGAACTTGGCAGCGTCCCCAGGAGTAAGACAGGTCAAATCTGAGCTTCTGATTCTTGTTCTGGGCTGAGGGTCAAAGGAAGAATTAAGGAAACGGAGCACTCCAGCTTTAAGGAGCCTTCCCGACATCCTTGAGTCTTGCTTGCCATGTCTCCTGGAAACACGTTGTTCTCCTCTTTCTTCTTCTCTCCATTTCTGCTGAGAATCAAACCTAAGGTACCAAACATACCAGGCAAGAGCTCTAGCCATGGGCTGCGTCTCTAGCCTCAGAAGTTTATTTATTGTCCTCAACCTGGTGACCCTGGTTGTATTCATTTGTTCTTCCTTTCACCCATTCAGCAAATCTGTAGCAAGTGTCTAATGTTGCCAGAGGTTATGCCTTCCTAGGTCATGCCTCTCCCACCCCTGCTTTATTTTGTTTACACGGGGTCTTGCTCTCTAGCCCAGGCTAACCTGAAATTTGTGATCCCCAGCCTTCCTGAGGTGTCTACTTCCACAGTTCTATTGAATTCTATTAAGAGATCGCCTTTATGCTGGGCAGTGGTGGCACATGCCTTGAATCCCAGCACTCGGGAGGCAGAGGCAGGTGGATTTCCATGAGTTTGAGGCCAGCCTAGTCTACAGAGTGAGTTCTAGGACAGACTCCAAAGCTACACAGAGAACCCCCCCCCCCCCCCCCCCCGAAAAAAAAATCACACGCTTGTGTTTCCTGGTTTCCCCCAGGACTGCTCACTAATGTGAAAGTACATTACCTTGGCACAAGACATGAAGGGAGAATCCAGATGGAACCTGTGTAACGGAAAGGCCTAACGGGCACAGCTGAGATAGCAGCCTTGGGGCCGAGCCCAGATTCTCGGAACTCTCGTGGGAAGAGTGGCTGCCATGAAGAGAATGACATATTTGGACCCCAGGCATTCTATGGATACTCTCATTCCCAGTTCTTAAGTCGGGGCTCTTGGGCATTTGGCGGGGTGACTCATGGTCTCCAAACTCTCTCCTTGAGGAATCTAGCAGGTCAGACCTCAGGACTAGAGGCACTGGATTCTTTCTGGACTTCACTCTGCAGCCTGGCACATGACTGTGATAACCAAGCAAGGCCAACGTTTGGGGAGCAGAGAGGGTGTGGGGAGGGCAAGAGAAAGAGTTCATTTGCTCTCTGGCACAAGATCTTGTTGACACTGGTTCTTTGCTCTGTTGTGACCTCCAGGTTTTCAGCCAGGCGCCATTTACAGGAAGGACGGCAGGAAGGGCCTCTGTGAACCACTGAGATAGGAAAGAGAGAAAGAGCTGGCAGTTACTGTGGCGCTGGCCGCTGACAGACCCCTGCGCTCTTTCTTTCCATGTGCCCCCCACACCCTTCGTGCACCACATACACTTTGACTCCACATACACTGAGCTGCCACCTTCTCTGAGCCTTCTAGATCTGTCCCCTTGCCTTTCCCAGGAGAACTTTCTGGATCACCCAGCTAGTTGGAGCCTTTTTCCTCTCCTGTGTGGGTCCCTTTATGTCATGGAGTAGTAGCTCGGTAGTGAGATTGTGATAAGCATGCAGAAGACCCTGGGGTCTGCTCTCAGTACCGCTGAAAGAAAAAGCTGCCGTGCTTTATTTCATACAGTAGACCGACGTGGATTAAGCTGTAAATTCTTCAGGACAAAGACTTGTGCTTGGCTCTTTCCGAACTTGCCTATCTCTCCCTGTCCACTCTGTAGAGTATATATATATAGGCATCCCCAGATGATGAATTTTGTTGTTTGCTTTTGTTTTTGTTTCTTTTCCTTCCTTCCTTTTCTTTCTGATTTCTTCTACCTTTTGAGAAAGAGTCTTGCTGTGTAGCCCAGGCTGGCCTTGAACTCTCAGTCCTTCTGTTTCAGTGCTGGGATTACAGGCATGTACCACCATACCTAGATCCTTCAGATGTTTTAACAGGAAGAACACACGGAAATCCTGTTCTTCAGCTGGTCTTGTCATCCAGGGCAGACAGCCTCCTATAGTACCTGCTCTTAGGTCCTGCTGTAGGGTTTTCTGGTGAAGCCTGGTGGGTAGGAATGGGTAGGAATGCCCTGGCTGGTAGCCTCCCTGCTGAACCTAGCATTGTCCTGTTTCCTCCACTGGTGTCTGCACAGCTTGATGACCTGTACTTGATTGCCATCTGCCATCGCCGGGGTATCAGATCACTTCGCGACCTCACCCCAGAGCACCTGCCGCTACTGAGGAACATTCTCCGGGAAGGACAAGTAAGTTGCTTCACAGTGCAGAAAGCCCAGACTGGGTCTTTTTCCTCACTCTTCTCGAGTCTGTCTGGATTTCAATCGTGGACACTACTAGAACTCACTAGATTGGTTCACAGGCAGCCCTGCCTTGCTCCCAGCTCTACTTTATCCCTTTCCTTGCCTCCAGACTTGCCCCCATGCCTTTGTCTGCAGGTCCCATGTAGGATGCTTCTTTTCCCCATAGATTGGATCCCTCCCATCCCAGAATCACCTGTTTTATTCATGGCAACCACCTTGTGCTAGACGAGTTCCTTGGATATTGGTCACATGACTTGTATATATGCATATACCTTCTCACTAAGACTGAATGAAGGCAGGCTGAATTCTGCAGCACCTTATGTTCTGGGACATTATAGGATAGAGAAAGGAGCCATGGGTCAGGAGAGGGTGAGAGAAGAATGACCAGAAGCTTGGGTTTGTGGTCCTGACCTGATGTTTGGGTCGTAGCTATCAGGACCCTTGAACAGGTCACTTTCGTTGCCCCTGAGGTCACTAGACCTCAGGATCTGTTAGGATCCCTTTTGAAACCACCACTCTACAAGCTGAGTCTCTACCTTTTTTCTGAAACATGTAGACACCTGTCCTGTCGGGGCCAACAGTCACAAGGGTGCCTGGCTAGGAAGCACTCTGCCCCTTTCAGGACAATACTGGAGTGCTTACTAGGTACTGCTTCGCTTGCCCCTGAGCCCTAACTGCCTTCTCCCCTTGGTGTCCTTCTCTGGGTGTCTTTTCCTTCCTGGGCCTACTAGTTTCTCTCAAGAAGTAGCCTTTGGATATGACCAGTGGCACAGAGCAATGTTCTCCCAGGAAGGAACTGATTCTCACTTCCCTGACTTGGTAGTTTGGGCAGGCTTACCTGCCCATCAGCTCTGCTTATCCCAGAAGGTTGCCCTCTTCCCCCCAGTTTACCCGGCCACTGTGATTCTCCACTGGTAGCACCAAAGGCAGAGTATGATTTGGGGTTAAAGTCTGAGCCCACAGAGGCCTAAGTCTTTTTCTCCTCAGAGGGAGCTGTGGGGTTGGTAGAACTCTCTCTGTCTCTGAGACAGGTGGAGGTGGGAAGGGGAACCAGGGCCAACTTAAGTGCTTTCTTCTTTTGCAAGGAATGCTGCTGAGGCCTGAGAGTCCTTCCTGAAATTCCTCCCTGCATCCTTTCCCTTCTACCAAGTTCTTAGCACAGCTCCATCTCCACACAGCCTCATCCCAAAAGGGTGCTTACTTTTAAAAAAATCCCTGCCTACTTTAGGATTGATAGATGCTACAGGGAGCTGAGCTGACCTTAGGAACTGGGCTTCCTGGACTGCCAAAGAAAGAAGTCCATGTTTTCTGGGGCTTGGTGAGACTGGCTGAGAGCCATTTCCATTGGGGAATTTCTCAGCTTGGCTACGTCACCACGTTTTTTCAGTTTCTTAAAGAGAAGACCAGGATAGATGGCAGAAGGGGTAGAGAGCTGGTTCGGGGAGGGGGTTGTAAACCATCCCAGGCTAACTGGAGCAAGGATATAAAGGGTCCAGTTGGGGTGAGCAGAGGATAGGATGTTGGCTCCTTGGCAACATGATGACCCTTTGCCACTGTCTTTCCTTACCAGGAAGCCATCCTGAAGCGCTACCAGGTGACAGGAGACCGCCTGCGCGTGTACCTGCACTACCTGCCTTCTTACTACCACCTGCATGTGCACTTCACTGCCCTGGGCTTCGAGGCTCCCGGCTCAGGTGTGGAGCGGGCACACCTGCTGGCTGAAGTGATCGAGAACCTGGAGTGTGACCCCAAGCACTATCAACAGCGCACTCTTACTTTTGCGCTTAGGACTGATGATCCCCTGCTTCCGCTCCTGCAAGGAAGCCCAGCAACTTCCACTGAGAGTGCCTGAAGAGAGGGGAACTACTGGACCGGGGCTTGGGTAGTGTGGGCTGGGTTTTATCTCTGAGGGATTTCCCTAAAATGTATTTTGTAGTTTCTTGGCCTTTCAGCAAAGGTCAAGTGTAAGGTGTATTTTGTACTGTTTTATTTCTCACAGGAGAATAAAGTACTTTCTTACTGATGAGGACTGATGGTGTAGCCCGGCAGAGGCAGAGGGTGGAAGGGAGACAAGTGGTAGGGAAGGTGAGTGGGCAGAGCCGGCGGGGACCTCTTGGGAAGGGTGGAAAGTTTCAGGGTGTCACCACAGCCAGTGAGTCACAGCCTCTTGGAAGGTTCAAGAATTTCCTCTACCTCCCCATGCTTTCTGTACCTGTTGACTCCCTTGTCCTGTGTCTCCACTGCTTACTGTACACTCCTTCCAATTCTTCAGCCCTGTTCCTCCCTCTCTCGCCAACTCTCCTTTTGGGCAAGTTCACTCCCACCCTTAAAACCAAATTCAAAACCTTTCCGGAAATAGTCTGTGGAGTCTTTAGATGCCACTTCCTCCTTCCCTCCCTAGTTACACCCTGTCTGTGTGTCCAGGCTGTTGGTACATTTGATGAGGGGGCTGGGGTTTGATGCCTGGAACCGGGAGCGTTTTCCTGAGAATCAGATGATGCAAACCCCAAAAGCCAGCCTTTGCTTCTGTTATTTGGTCAGCAGCCCCTGGCCTTGAGTTTGTCATTTAGGCAGGAAGACAAAACAAACTCATGGGTCAGCTGGAAAGTTTAAAATACTGTCAAGGCAAAATGATCTGGTTGCAGTGGTGGGGGGGCTCAGGGCCAGGGTGTGCTAGAGGGGTCGAGGCCAGGGTGCGCTAGAGCTTTGCTTCACGGAATCTTGAGGCAAGGAATGAACTTTGAGGTATCAGAGGCTGATGACCAGTCGTGGAGCTGGCAAGAGCCTGCCTCAGAAGAGTGACACCTGCCACTGATCAGCAGAACAGGGCCACAGCGAGCACCATGAGGTCACTGTCTAGCACAGAGGACGGTCGTATCCTCCTGCCAGAGCAGAGCCAGTGTTTACCGACGATACTGTGCACTGTTCTGGAAACTCTCTGAGGTGCAGGGTGTTGAACTCTGAAGTGACAAGGAAGAAAGCACGAGGAAGAGTATGGCTGTCACTCTGCCTCCCCTGGCCTGAGACCCCAGAGACATGATTCAATGCCCAACTACTATGTTTACAAGTGAGGTCATCAGTGGTAGCCCTGGTCTTGCCACTTACTCCAAGGCCCACACTGCCTGTGGCGGAGAGCCCTGGGACCTTGGTGTCCCTGGGAAAGAGATTCCCTATCAAAAGCAGAGGGTTGGAGCAGGTAGTCAGAATCTGAGGCCACTCTGCTTCCAGCAAGTCCAGGGCAGGCATCGTAGAGCTTCTGTTCTCCTAAGCCAGCTCTCCTGACCCAGCCTGCTCTGCAGGACTTAAAGCACCCCAGGTTGAGGTCTATCTCCACCCATCACATGGACTTGCAGTTGTTTGGGGGTCACCAGAGCAGGTGTGTCTCTTACAAGTTAGGCCAGATCTTTTCATGGCTGCCACACAGGCTAGTGGTTTCCTGAACAGAAAGCAAATGCTTTGCTAGACAGGGCTGTGTGCCAGGGCTGAGGGTTTGCGGAGAGGAGGCTGACGGAGACCTCTTCTTACAGCTTGCAGGGCTGCTTCCTGGGTCTCACTCGCCCCTTTTCCAGGTACCAGGGTAGAAAAGTTACCTCTTCTTTGAAAGCAAATGGCACTGAATAGGCCCTGGAGCCTTAGAGGGATGAGACATTGTGGGTGGGAAATACATTACAGAGGTGCCAGATGAGGCCTCCCTCCAGATCACATAACACCTCTACCGCATCACGTGTTCCTTGCCCTCCCCCCCACCCCATACCAGCTATACTGCCTGTGGGTTTAGGCTCCCACAGGCTGACTTTTGTGTTACATGTAATAATATCACTGTGTCTGACTTGTATGGGGTGGGGTGATTGCTAGATAGATATACAACCTGAAGGGAGGGAGCAGCCTGCTCATTCATGTAGACAAACTAGAGGGGTCACGGGGTTAGAGTTACAAGGGTAGTAATTAAATCTGGAAAGGCCAGGTATACCTCCCTAGGGCATAGACCTGTGCTCTGGATGACTTTCTGGCTCCCCACTCCTGTCTCCCTTTTGACTTATTCTTCAAGGATGTGCCTGTCTTGGATAGTGTCGTATGCTTTGTTTAAATGATATCTCAGAGAGGTCTCGTCCAGGCCTCACTACGTAGTTTTCTTATGCTTGGAAGTATAAGAAGTATAGTTTTGTTATACTTTCTTATACTACTTTCTTATCCTGGTCCAGCCTCTGCCTGAAATCTGGTAAGGGCCTTTGCAGAGTTGGCCCGTTCTCAGCACTGTCCACCAAAGAAGAAGATGGCAGCTGTGCTTCTAGACCCCTGTACTCTCGACCCCCAGTGCCTCATCCCACTGAGGCTCCTGCCAGGCAGCCTGGCTGCAGTCTGGTGGTGTTGAAGTCCTAACAATACCCTTTATGTATTTATGGGGTAACCTTTACTGACACTCTACTACGTGACTTGTCTGGGTAGCTTCATATACTTGGCCTCTTTCCATTGCTGCCATATCTGCTGGCTTGTTGCCTTTCTTGTTGGACTGAGAGAACCTTGAAGGTAAGAGCATCTTACTCTGCTGACTTCCCAGTACCTCGAATTCTATCTGACTGGGTAGACAGAGTTAAAGGAAAATCAACCTTGTGACACTTTGTAGAGCACATCCTTTCATGGAGTTCTCGTCATCTATTTTACCGAGAAACACCCTTGGTACCTTCTTACAGGGTGAGTGCCAGCCCCAGGAAGCTGAAACTTGAGCCCAAGGACCTGTAGAAATATGTTCATTAAATTTGGTGGATGCAGGGAATGGAGCTGGGCCTGAGTTCCCAGACCGGGGCAATGCGGAGTGACGGCCATCCTTCTGCCTCAGGCTTTCCTCCTGCTGTCACTCCAGAGCTCAGTGTCCTGTCTCCTGGGAGGGAGCTTCCTGAGCAGGGCACATTATGCTTAGCCCTTCCTGCCCAAGTGCAAATGCCAGCTCTGCTCTCGCAGTGAGATTTTTACATGCATGCTGGGGCAACAGCAGATCTCATCCTTCCCAGATATATCAGGGACACCTCCACAAGTAACTTACAGTCTCCAATGCTTAGCTGTTTTCTTCCTAGCCTGGCTGGAGGTGAGAAGCAAAGGACACATGTCTGCTATTGTTCCTTGGCTTCTCTGTGCACTCCAAAGCCACATAGAGCAAAATCAACACAAAGCCAAAAGAAAGAATATATTCAAGCTCCATTTTGCTTGTCCCTGTTGTCTCTAAAATGAGAAATCAAGAAACAATCACACACAAAGTAATATTTCAAAACATTTCTCTTGTGATAGTTCCGTATCCAGAGCATTTGAATAGTCTTTACATAGGTGTCCTTGGGATTTGATTACAAGACATACACCCTGAAACCCGAACTCTAGATGTTTAAGTATCTCAGGTGGTGTAATATTGTCAATATAAATCCTCCTTTATGCTGACTTGCCTTAGATTACTTATAATGTGCAATATTCTACTTTGTTTAGAGACTATAAAGAAAAAGTCTATACTTACACATTTTTTGTTTATACTTTTACATTTTTAAAATTTACTATGTATGAGTTTTCTCTGCATGTTTGTCTATGTACGTGTGTATGCTGTGCCTTTGGAGGCAAGAAAAGACATCAGATCCCCTGGAACATTGTTACATATGGTTGTGAGCCATGCCTTCTCAATAGAGTTTGTGAGGATTAAATAAAAGGATTGCTGAGGGGCTGAAGAGATGACTGGTTAAGAGCACCGGCTGCCGTTCCAGAGTACCTGGGTTGATTCCCAGCATTGACCTGGCAGCTCACACTACCTATAACTCCAGTTTCAGGGAACCCCACACCTTCAGGCCTCCACAGGCCCTTACATGGTACACAGACATGTATGCAGGTAAAACATCTATACACATAATTGTTTTTAAAAATATTTTAAGCATAGTAAAAATTTTAGCTATTTTTCTGCCATGAAAGTGATTTAGAAGGAAAGATTTGGGGGACTAGATACTTGCTATAGACTTGTTAATATTCTAACACCTTGGGGGACAGTATTAAAGGCAGGGCCCTTGGGAGGTGATTAGGTCATGAAAAACAGCATCCTCAATGGTATTAATGTTGTACTACCATGCTCGGGTGTTTTTGAGACAGGGTCTATAAACTGGGTTGGCCTATGTCTTAGAGTTTCTATTGTGACAAAACTCCATGACCAAGCATTATAGCTTGGATGAAAAGGGATCCTGGCAGTTGGGAGCCAAGGAATACTAAATGCTACAGTCTGTATGGAAATGTTCGGGCAGTTGGGGGTCACAAGAATACTGAGTGTTACAGCTTAGGTGGAAGAATGCTCTGGCAGTCAGGAGCCAGGGAATAGCACAAGTCTCAGTAAGCGTAGCAGCTTCCAGCCCTGCTCTAGGGTAAGGCTATCCCGGAGTTGTTATAGCTGGAGTTGGTGGCCCAGAGTGTAGCAACTCCACTCCACTAAAGGAAGGTTTCCCCAGTGAAAGTGTTACAGCCCTGTTCCACTCTGCTCCTCCGTCTCTGGCTCCCCCAGTGAAGTTGTAACAACTCAGTGCTTCTAGGGGAGGGCTTTCCCAGCAAAAGTGTTACAGCCCTGCTCTGCTCCATCCAGTCAAAGACGGTCTTCACCCAAACCTCATTCAAGAGTTTTATTGAGAGGGAAGAATCAGGAGAGCAGACGCCTCTTCCAGGGTGGAAGAAGGGCAGCCACAAACCAAACAGGCACAGGGCTTATATAGGGTTTCTTAGGGGTGGAGTTTTTCCAGGGAGAAGATTTTCAGAGTGGGAATTGGTCAGATTTCGGTCCCTTGAGCTCAGATTGGCTAGATCTCTGCTCGGGAATTGGTTGGTTTCCTTGCGCAGGGAATTGGTTGGTTTTCTGCTTAGTTGCTCAGGGGCAGATTTGGCTCTGGTTTCAGGGTTAAAGTGTGTTTTTTCCCCCTGGCCCTTTTTAGCTTTTTGGCTCTAGTTTTGAGGCCAAGACATATTTCTTTCACTGGCTCTGAATCTCAGACCAAAGTGTTTCTTTGGCACTGG